TGCGTATGCCCTCCACGCAGAGCAGTCTGGCGACTGCGGGGATCCACGTAGTGCCACTTCGTCAGGTTACTACGGCGGGCCCTGTTATTATTGTCGTACGTTTTTTTTTTGGGGATTTGTTTGTTTGTGGGTGCCTGTAATTGTTGGGTAAATTTTGTCCTCAGTGAGAGATGCGGGGCGCACTGAAGCCCACCGTGATCGCTCCTTTTTGTGGGAGGAGGGGGACTGTCATGGTTTTTCCCAGGCACAATTTCACATATATATTTCTTCCGTGCTGATGCAATAATGCACGCCCAGTATTTATATGCACATATATTGACGGATACTTTTTTTTGCATTCATCTTGCGTGTTCCAGTGTCATTTAATATATTTTTTTACTAGGGATAGAGATTGTACAAAGGACACTTTTTACTTTGTTATTCCTTCTATGAACTCTCTTCATCTGTTGTTAATTTGATTCCACCAAACAATGATAGAAAAGTAGGTTTGTAAATCAGCTACAGTAGAAAAATTGGAGACCAGCACGGTAGCCACGAGAGAAGTGAAGATTGAGGAGTTGTCATGGCGCGAGAGGCATCAAGGGTGAAACCAGTGACGCAGCCCGGTGTTCATGCACCGGAGATCAAGGCGCTGCTGAATTCCCGGGCAACGTACCGAACAGCTATTGTGGTTGCTGTTATATTTCTTTTGCTTGCCTGTCTTGTTGTCGTTGCAACTTCGTCCGTACAGCAGGGCGAGGACCAAAGTCTGCCGCGGGCGATTGTGCTGGTTGTTCCTCACCTTCCCCCAAGTTTGTTGGAGGCGGCCATGGCAAGCAATAAGGCTCCCTTCCTCGGTCTTCTTTCCGCTGCGGATGGCATCTATTCCCGGCTTACTGCGAAAAACAAGGAATTGACGTCGTCGCTGGTGACGGTTCTTACAGGCGAGGGGAACTCGAGTGCGACAAACCTTGTGGGGGCGACGAGCTTTCTGGCCAGGATGAGGAAGGCCGGGAGGAAGCCCGTGGTGGTGGCGTCGTCGTCGTATTGGTCGGGCCAGGAGGCGGGGTCCGACGGTAACTGTGGGCGTGTGGGGCTACTTGACTCGGAGTGCTCCGGCCTGAAGTGTCCTGCGGCGACCGAGGCGGCGTACTGCAATGCTGCGGAGAAGCTCATCTCATGCGATGGCAAGGCGCAGCTTTATGAGGAGGATGTGCTGGAGGGGTTTCGCCACCTTATGCAGCATGACGGCGACCTTCTGTATGCGCACGCAAACGTCCTAAGTGGCCCGGCCACAACGGACGAGGAACGCATGGCTTCCATGAGTGACATCAGCATCATGGACGGCACTCTGGGGAAGCTTGCGCTTGCCGTTAGTGAACGCTCTAGCACGACGAAGGAGAGCTGGCTACTGATGCTGGTTGGTGCGGGTGGTGGTGGTCTGGAAAAGGTCCCGTTGGTGATGGCGGCGTATGCGCGAGGAGGGCTTGTGCGTTTCGGTCCCATAGCTGAGGAGGCAACTCTAGCCGACGTTGCCCCGACGGTACTGCACTGGTTTGGTCTTTCCTCCGCTGGTGAGGCGCAGCGTGTGCGCGGGATGTGTTCCACAGGTGTAACTGTCACGAGCTGCGAGACCACAACGAATTGGCCATGAAGTTTGACCAGTGAGCGAGAGAAAAGGGAGAAAAGTAAGAAGAGACATGCGGTATTGGCA